ACAGAAAGCCCTCCCATGATAGAGGTATCTCTGATGAAAGCCAAGCAGAGACAAGTATAGAGATTATCTCACTGGCCCACAAGCAACACACTCCTATTTATATACTCAAGACTCAATGTGGTACTACATTGGAGTGCTGATTCATGGCTTATTGATTGAGTTGTATTTGACCTTTAGTGTAAATTAAGTTAATATTAATGTAGAAACTGGTGTGAAGCATAAGCATCAATTTATATCATCCTATATAATAAAAGAGAAACATGCAAATTAACCATCCCTCTGCTACGCTCAAGCCACACCCAACAACCAATCAGGAGCGAGTATGTAAATTAACCCAACTAATATTGTAGCGGCCATGGAGCTGGAGTGAGCAGGAGTCTTGGGTTGCCCCCTGCAATGGAGGAAGCCAAGCTTCCTGCCTGCACTAGCCAGCCCTGGGTTCTGCTTGAGGCTACAAAGTTTTAATTATAGAAGATAAATAAATCCCAGAAAAAAAGAAAATGGGAGACGCTGGGAGCTTGGGTAGCCGGGGGTGTGGACAGCCTGGAAATGGCCCTCAGTCCCTCACCCAGGCTGGCCAGGCACCCCAGTAGGGACCCCCACCCTGAAGGGGTGTGGCCAGCCTGCAAACTGCCACCAGCCCCTCACCTAGACTGGCCAGGCACCCCAGTGGGACCCCCACCCCCCGATCCGGACACCCTTCAGGGCAAACCAGCAGGCCCCCACCCATGCACCAGGCCTCTATCCTATATAATAAAAGGGTAATATGCAAATTCACTCTAACAGCAAACCACTGGGAATGACTGGTCACTATGACACACACTGACCACCAGGGGGCAGATGCTCAATGCAGGAGCTGCCATCTGGTGGTCAGTGTGCTCCCACAGGGGGAGCTCTGCTCAGCCACAAGCCAGGCTGACGGCTGCCAGCACAGCGGTGGTGGTGGGAGCCTCTCCCACCTCCTCAGCAGCACTAAAGATGTCTGACTGCAGCTTAGGCCTGCTCCCCGCTGGCAAGTGGACATCCTCCGAGGGCTCCCGGGCTGCCAGAGGGATGTTTGACTGCCAGTTTATGCCCAATCCCCCGGGGAGTGGGCCTAAGCCAGCAAGTGGACATCCCTCAAGGTGTCCGAGACTGTGAGAGGGCACAGGATGGGCTGAGGGACGCCCCGGAGTGCACAAATTTTTTTGCACCGGGCCTCTAGTCCATTATAAAATGAGAAACTGCACAGGTTTTCAAGGCCCAGTGATTTGGGGAAGTTGGAATCTATTTTGAGGAAATACATAAGCACAGTTGTGAGTAGATTGTCCCAATTGCTCCTGGAAATGGCAGTGAAGAATGGATGGAATGTGATGTTGAGCATGGTGTATACAAAAGAGGTGTGAGGTTTAAAATTAAAGAGGAAAAACAGCAAATGGCCATGAATAATGCCCGGACAAGTTTTCAGGGACATTCACTCAGCCCAGACATTTTAGTTAGTGTTCTCTTGAGTGACCTCAGCATAAACAGTATGGTTGGTTTTCTTCCATATCACACCTCGTGGTTACTGCTGATGGAAGAGACAACCCAGGAATATGCTGTAAATAGGGGACCTGTTCCTTCACAACCATGTGACGCTGCCCACTCCTCCTCAGAGCTCCTGGGGACCAGAGTGGAATGAGGAGAGAGAGAGAACAGAGGAACTCTTTGGAGATGCAGACAGCAGGAATAAGTTCAGCAGTTACCTACTATTTCTGATATTTCTTTATTCATTGGATTGCTGTGCCATGTCTTTTTAAATTTTAGCCAAACCCTATATTATGTTTTATTTAAATTGGTTCTCCAAAGACTCCTTTTAAAAAATTATTCCTACATGTAAGATAAAATCCGTGAGTGGTGATTTTTATGGTATTTAGCTTACTGTACATCTAAGTCCTCTTCATCATGTTATTTCTCCAGTCACACATCTGTAAAATTACTTTGAGAAGCACATAACTCGATACTTTATCAAAAGATTTCTATTTTCTAAGGTGAACTAGGTGGAAGATCAAAGTAAGAGTATTAAGTTGGCAACGTCTTCTGAAACCTAATGTTATAATTACAAGATTCAGCTTAAAGGTAAATTGCAGTATATATATACAAAAACTTATGTGTGTTTTCATGCCTTGGGAGATTTACTTGTGATAATATTTATCAATATAAGGAAAGTCTAAGAAAAGATACCTTAGCATTGGTGTGTGAATATGACACTTTACCTAAATTCATCTTCGCACTTCAGTTTGTTCATGTGTCTCCGCTACAAAAGAAAGTTCAAAGGGTATTGTTTATACAGGCTGGTAGGCAAAAGAACTACCAGTAACTAGTTGAGTAACTTCAGGTAAGTCATTTTAACCTTTCAGGTTCTCATTTAAACCAAATGACCTCTTCAAGTCATTTCTAAAGTGAACATTCAGTGATTTGATGAGATCTATCTTTTGGATAAATTGTGGGTAGGGACTACTTTGCATAGTCCCTGTTCCTCTGGGATATGGGCCTTTTGTTCCTCACTTGTAGTCAGAGCCACTTTATCCCCAACCAACTATACCTACTTTAGGAAAATCTCACTGCAAGGACTCAACAGTGATGAGGGATCTATACTAAAACAACATCCTCCATCTGGCCAAATAAGATAAGTCCAAAGCATGTGTCTTCTCTGGAGGAACCTCCCAGGCCTCCCTAGCTTGATGCCCTGGTCTTATCCCTTTCCACATTCTTCTTCTGCATCCACTTATCTGAACTTCCCCTTCTGAATCTACTTCCACCTCTAGATTGACATCCAAGCTGATATTCTCCAATGCACACAGAGAAGGGTTCATGAAAGACAGTCAGCAAAAAACTTGAGATTCATTTCAACTTGAAGAAAGATTATGGTTCTTTATGCTCCCTACAACATAAAACACAGCTTTTCTCTAAAATCTCAACCATTATTTATAATCCTGATCTTCTATTAACAATTCACATCTTTCCTGGAAACACATTTCTTTCTCTGTTCTCTCATGTAAAAGATACATTCTAACCCAGAGCGGTGTGGCTCAGCAGTTGAGTGTCAAGCCAGGAAACAAGAGGTCACCAGTTTGATTCCTGGTTAGGGCATATGCCTGGGTTGTGGGCTTGATCCCCAGGGAGGGGCATGCTGGAGGCAGCCAATCAATGATTCTCTCTCATCATTGATGTTTCTATCTCTCTTTGCCTCTCCATTACTCTCTGAAATCAAATATATATATTAGAGGCATGATGCACAAAAATTCATGCATGAGTAGGCCTTCCTTTCCCTGGCTGCCGGCACCAGGTTCCCTCCAGCACTCGGGACCCGGGCTGCTTCACTCTGGCTTCCGATGCCACCCACCCAGTTCCCCCTGGTTTTCCATTCACCATGCTGCGATTGGAGCCTGTGGGTCAAGGGAGAGGGACCAAGAGGTGGTCAATGCACCACATAGTGACCGGTCGTTCCAGTCATTATGGTCACTGGCCTTTTATAATTATAGGATAATTAAGAAGCATGTTCCATAGTGCAATGATCTGACTATGGGCTGACTTCTCTGGAAACTGCCAGAATTTCTCTTTTTACCTTCCTTTTATTTCTAACAGCAGTTGTAGATTGGCATAGAGCCAAAATGGAAGTTGAAATGTGCATTGCATCATTTGTCATGTTAGCTACAAAGGAAGCAGCAGAGGTACCAGAAATGAAAACGAGGAAATTTCTGATAAACAACTCTGATGGTTATCTAGAAGGTGAATTGAATCATAGATATCAGAGTTTGACACTGCATTTTGAATTGCACAATTGGAGATAACTGCCTCCCACCTAGATAATAGTACCAATTTAATTCAAAATGTGAGTGTGGTTTTATACTCATTCCATTCTGTGGGAGTGCCAGAGAGCATTTATTTATCAGACTCCCATGGAGCACATTTGAATTTGTAAAAAGAAATGATTAATTAAAAAAACAACAACCTGGGTGCCCTTGATATGGATACTATCATAGTATGTGGAAGTAAAATGAATGAATTTACCTTTTAACAGGCTCATATGCATCAGTGCAAACATGCCCTGTTATCAAGCAGTTTAAACCTTTTCCAATATAGAAGAGGAAGTTAATCAATGCTTTTCTCGTTGGATTTGCAACTAGATAAAGATTGTTTAACTCAGGCACCTCTCACTGGTCCTTTCTCTAATTGGTAATTTAAAAAGTCCACAATTACTGAGAGAAGAGACAACGGAGAGGCAGTAAGCTTCTGGAAGAACTTAAAATCTTTGCTGCACCCCAGACTGTCCCCCTGGTTTGTGCCCCTTATCATGGGAGTAGCTCTTGCCATCATTTAAAAAGCTTGACCTGCATTTTAGGAGACTTACTGGTATTATTGGTTTTGCCTCTGCAGACTCATAATTCCATTACCTGTTATTGGGAGGAAAAAGCAAATAGAGGCTTAAAACTGAGTGCCTCTACACTTCCATCTCCTTGTTCTTCATTCTTATCCAGGCAGGAAGGCCATGGGACACTTTGTCTCTTAGCAAAGGAATATTTTCAGATATCGAGGTATTGCACAAGACAACTGGTCAGAGAAGTTAGGAGGGCAAGGGAAGAGGAGGATCAGGAGCCACCCCCTGTAAGTGGTTGCTGCTTTCCCTGCAGGACTGTGCATTGATAGACTTCCCTTTCCTCCAACTCTCACATTCTCTGTCTCTTTCTCTGATTCTTAAATTGGCCTTTCCTAGTAAAAGGTCAATATGTTTTCACGCTTGAGAAATTTCATTCAAGAATTTTTGTCAATGGACAAGTCATAAGAAGTTCTTCCATTTTAGGGCTGGTTGACGTCACCAAGGAGGCGATAAATATCTGTTGATATAATCAGATGTGAGGTTCAGTGTTGAGAGAGCAAAAATTCTGCCCCTGGTTTCCTGGCAGGGCCCAATGATTTATGCAGGAGCAGAGGCAGCACGCAATCGAGCTGTCAAGAGAGCGTCAGCTTATTAGGCAAATGCTGCGTGATTTCTGAAGAGGATCGACGCTATAAAATCCCACTCCAGGCTCTGGTGTGGAGAAACTCAGAGCCCAAGTCCGTTGAGAGACTGAAGAGAAAGAGAAGAGGGAAGAAAAAACCCACAGTGGAAACAGAAAGGAGAAAGAAAGAAAACCCCTGAAAAAGCCTGGAGACATTAATCTGCAGCAGCGCCCCGGAAGGTAGGGAGCCTAGACGGAAACGCGGCTCCAACTTTGCACTGCCTGAGCTGCAACCGAGCTCCCTGCGGAGCCCTGGCCCTGTCCTTCCAGTGTTGTGTGTGTGTGTGTGTGTGTGTGTGTGTGTGTGTGTGTGTGTGTGTGTGTGTGTTTGCTGACTGTGCCTCAAGATCCCGATAGAAGCTGGGATGTGGCAAAAGCAAACTTAGACGGCTACTCATCGTTACCCGAACTTCCAGTTATTCCTTTCTGGCTGTGTAGATGAGCACCCCATTGATCCCGATCCTCGAAAGCAGGGCGCTGGAGCAGGGATGGATGAGGAGGAGGACGAGACGCAGCTTTTCATTTGGAGGAAAAGGCTGAAACATCCGAAAGGGAGTTGGAGTTAAGAGCGGTTGAGGTCTTAAATTTGTAGATCCTCTCCAGAGCTCCGGAAATCGGGTTTAGAGATCGTTAGGAAGGGGATTCGGGGACTGTCCCTTTGGGGGTTTCGGAAGGAGAGGGGTCATTCCAGCCTGGAGAGGGGGCTGAGCTTTGGTGCCTAGCCCTGCAGGCGCCCGCTTTCCTGCTCCCCCTTTCACTCCAGCTCTGTAAGTCCTACCTCGGGAGCTTCAGAACCACGGACAGCGCCCGCCCGAGCCCCCAGCCAAGTCTGCCTCCTGTGGGAAGAGGACATCCTCCCCCGCCACACACACACACACACACACACACACACACGCACACGCACACGCACACGCACACGCACACACACACACCCCGCACCTCCCCAGTTGAGCTAAACTGTGATCAACTCTTTCTCTCTTTCCTTCTCCTAGTGCTTCTAACATGAGACTGCCGCTGCTCGTGTCCGCGGGCGTCCTGCTCATGGCTCTCCTGCCCTGCCCGCCATGCAGGGCCCTCCTCATCCGGGGGCCTGTCCCAGGCGCCCGACAGGCCCCACAACTTCCCCAACCCCTAGATTTCTTCCAGCCGCCGCGGCGGCGGCAGGTCCTTCCAGTTCAGCCGGTCCCACTCACCACGGGGGAAGAATACTTCTTCCGCCAGGGTAACCTCAACGAGAGCCCCGCTGCTCCCCTCTGGTCAGCCTCCTCGCCCCTCGCCCGCCGCAGCAGCAGCCACCTTTCTCCTCACAAGGTAGCCGCCAATTTTTCCCGCGCATTGAGGCAGCTGCGATCGCTTCCCTGGCGCCCGCTTGACAGCCCGGCGGGTCCAATTGAGCGTGGTGCCGAGAGAGCCCTCAGCTGTCGTCAGGAGGACCCGGAAAAGGAGAGGCGATCCAGAGCATTTGAAACCTCTGTGGATGTCCCCTATATTATCCTCCGACAACTCTTGGAAATAGAAAGAAAAAAGAAGTATGCAGAGCAAGCTGAAAAAAACAGGCAACTGATGGAGAGTATTGGGAAATGAAACGGTGCGTTTGGCCAAAGTGATTCTGCATTTAGCAAAAAATAAAAAATAAAAACTATTCTGTACCATAGCGTGGCTCTGATACCATTTGTTTATTTTTATTTAGCTTGAAACTTAGAGGATGTATATATAGCAAGAGCGCCTGTCTCCTTAATTAGAATGCACAACGTGTATTCGTGTGCAGCAATAGCAACAAAATGGTATTTGTATTGTCTACTTTTAGTTTCCATTTCCAGGTGTCTTTAATGGTGTTTAAAAGATTATAGACCGAAGAGGAAACGTTTTTGAAGAAGCAAACAGAAAAATCACCCAATTGATTTGGCTGTGGTCTGAATTCTCTTTGGTGGGTGAGAGAAATCATGTAAGCTCTTTGAATCAACTTTTCCTTGTAAATATTTCAGTAATAAAGCATCCTTACAATCCGTGGTCAATTTGTTTGTGTAAGAGAATGTTCAATAGTTATCCTACATAATAAAAGGCTAATATGCAAATTCACCAAGCCCAGAGGCAGTGCTCCCAGCTCCCCAGCAGTGCTAAGGACCTCCCAGGGAATATCTGACTGCTGGCAGGTGGACATCCCCTGAGGGGGTCCCAGACTGTGAGAGGCCTAGGCTGGGCTGAGGAACCTCTCCGTCCCTCCCCCCCTCCCCCCCGGCCAAACACCCCAGTGCATGAATGTCATGTACTGGGCCTCTAGTATTTTTCATATTTTTCATAAATGCTGCAAAGGTAATCCTGACTTTTCCTTTTCAATTATATTAATAGAAATAGTCTCCGCTACTGGACTCCTACAAACTTACTTAAACACAAGAAAAGACAAAATCCCTTGCAGTTTTTTCTACTATAAATACAAAGATAAGTCAGTGGTTAACACAGATCCTGCAGTCTCCTTGGGTTCATCTCTGTACCTCAGATTACTCTTCTAAGATAGAGTTAAATAATTTGAGAAGTTGCTTCCAGCTCTAAGACTTGCGAATTCTATACATGGAAGATCTATTCATAATGGAAATAACATTTAGCCCTGATTAACTATAAGATGTAAACTAATTGGGGAGGGTTGGGGAAAGAGGAAAGGGAAAGAGGAGAATGGTTGAGGAAGACACTTCTACAAACTATAGGGCCAAATGCCTCATTTTTTTCCCTATGAGAAAGTCTCATACATTATTCAGCCATTATTTTACTATCACAAATAATTTTTCTTTTTTTAAAAAAAATATATCTATTGTGGATATGCCACAGAATTTATTTTTTTTAATATATTTTATTGATTTTTTACAGAGAGGAAGGGAGAGGGATAGAGAGTTAGAAACATCGATCAGCTGCCTCCTGCACACCCCCCACTGGGGATGCACCAGCAACCAAGGTACATGCCCGTGACTGGAATTGAACCTGGGACCTTTCAGTCTGCAGGCCAACGCTCTATCCACTGAGCCAAACTGGTTAGGGCCACAAATAATTTTTCTAAGCTATTTTCCAATGCCTACTTCTAATAGGAGAAACTTGATAGCCTCTCCACTTAAAACAACTAAATTTAGTTGCCATGAAATGAGACAATTTCTATAAATATTTTGACTTTAATACATCCACAAAAACCCTCCTCATTTATGTCTATGCCAACACTAATCATTTTCATTTTAGTAATATAAACTGTCTCTATTCACTTCTGAATTCAAACAACACATCTAGTTAGTTTTACAATGCATTCACCTTTTGTAGTTTAGTTAAAACTTAAAAAATTCAATTGAGCCCTTGCTGGTTTTGCTCAGTGGATAGAGCATTGGCCTATGGACAATTACTAGTGGTCCATGAGGTCCAAAAGATTGGTGAGCGCTGGTATAAGGAAACCTTTGTAGCAGTAGTCACCAACCAGTGGTCTATGAGGTTCAAAAAATTGGCAACCGCTGGACTAAAGTGTCCCAGATTCAATTCCGGTCAGGGTCACATGCCAGGTTTAGGGTTTAATCCCCAGTGGACGGTGTACAGAAGGCAGCTGATCAAAGATTCTCTCTCATCATTGATGTTTCTCTCCCTTCCTCTCTGAAATTAATAAAAATATAGTTTAAAAAATAATCTCATCCAGAATTTAACATTTTACACAATTATTAACACAAAATTAATCATGGAGTTAATTGTAAAATATAAGATTATAAAACTCCTAGGTAAAAAAAACCCCACAATTTATTGTTTAATACTTCAAAATTATTTGGATGTATGAAGATGCTTCTTCCCTTGGGACCCTTTAAACAACTTGACTAATGGATTAATAAGAATAAACCATTATAAGACTAAGTTGTTAAAAACTTAGCATTTATTTAAGAGTTCATACAGAGTAAAGTTGTATTTATGTTCTGAAGGAGGCATTATGGTGGGACAAATAAAACAAATAAAACATATATATGTATATATGTATATATGTATATATACATACATATATATTTAAATACGTGAAGTTGTGTCTCATTGGATACATGAGAAAGTAGATGGTTCCTGTGGAAAGGTTTTTTTTTTCTCCTCAATTACAGTGCTTGTTACCTGCATATCTAAAACTAGATTAGAAAAATGTCACAATAAATGTCCTAGACCTTCAGCCTTCTGGACTATGAACGTGTCACCAGAGTCAAAGAACATTTCTAGATATACGTCCAACAACATATATTATGGAAAGATGAAACCTTTGTGAAACATATCTTACCTTTGGTCAATGATTTACCTTTTGTCCATATATTGATAAATCAGTCACTTCTAAATTAATAGTGAATTTCACTAGCCATATGCATTGTTAACAAGGAAAGAGAATAAGAGCTACTATTATATAATAACAAAAGCCAGTGCCTATTAGCGATAAGAGTATAGTGCCCACTTTTTTCAACACTTGCCACTTGTTACTGACACATGCTCACACATACCACACTGACACATCCTTCATACTGTTTCCCACACAATAAAAGATTTGCATAAGATCAACTTTCTTTTTCCCAGTGCTTTCTGCAGCTGTTTTCCCTTAATGTGTTAGATAAATCATCTGGAATTAAAGATTTTTCTTTTGTTGCAGAAATCTTGTTCCAAGGTCCCTTTCATCATTTACATCATATTAATTTCATCTAGGTTCCATTTCAGCCAGGCAGACAGCGGGGCAGCAGTTGGAATGAACATCATTCGTTCAGGGAGTTCAACCAGGAAAAGGAGAAGATATGGCGAGCTGGCTCAGAATCAGCTCCATTCCCACTCCCTGAAGCTGCAGCCTGTCCCTGGAGGGGAGGATCCTCAAATCCAATCTGCAACAAAAGAAAATCTGAATGAGAGGAGGAAGAGGCTAGTTCTTTTGGGGTTGGTCCAGCCACTTTTCTACTGAGGAGAAAGGATCATCATAATAATAATTATCTAGAACATAATTATTATTAGGGATGGAAAGCAAGCTCAGGTTATTTTGGCCATGGTCAAGAGCCATGAAAAATTCACACACATGATCCAAAAAGGGGCAAAAGTAATGCATGCAGTGGGAAGTTCTTGAGAAAGAGTCCAGGCTATCCATACTTTTATTTTATTTTATTCATTTTTTACAGAGAGGAAGGGAAAGGGATAGAGAGTTAGAAACATCGATGAGAGAGAAACATCGATCAGCTGCTCTTGATCCCACTGGGAATGTGCCCGTAACCAAGGTACATGCCCTTGACCTGAATCGAACCTGGGACCTTTCAGTCCGCAGGACCAGGCTCTATCCACTGAGCCAAACCAGTTAGGGCGATCCTACTTTTTTTAAAGGCCACTTTTACATTATTTACTGAAAGGAAAGTTGCTATGAAGCTAATGGGAATTTGGATTTAGAAAAATCTGCAGAATAAATAAAATCCTGTTTTAAATGACATTGTTACATCACATGATATTGCAGGACAAATCTCTGCACTGCTAAAGTAAGAATTTCTACTAGGATGTGAATATATATAGCATAATTTTTGCAAAAATGCAAGCTTAGTTTTGAGCAAATCATGAATGAAAGGACTTGTTTTCTTTAGACCATAAAAATCTAATAACATCAATACTTCTAAAGAATTATCTGTCTTTTATAAATACCACTATAAAAAACACTTCTCTTTGATAGATAATTTTGAAGTAATTGTTCAAGCTAATCTATAAGTGAAATTTACAGAGTAGGGCAAAAATAACTTTACAGTTATTTGTATGGAAGATAATACAATAATCAATAAATAATAATACAAGAATAAACTCCATATTTCACATATTTACAACTATAAACCTACTTTTGCCACACCCTGTATTTATGTTGTTTTGAGTTTAAACTATAACTTGGTGAAATGAGAGACAATTATAAAGACTCCTTGTTGAGATGCAATTTGATGTATAAACTCAAACTCCTTACACTTAAAGGGACCATGACAAACTCGGGTCTTCCTAGGAGAACTACCAAAGACAGGCCTTAAAACACCATTGATTTCAAAGCAATGAGGTAGGCACATGCATTCAATTTAGATAGTCCTTGTGATTTTATGAAGCTGCTATATGAATGGACAGTACCTATCACAGGCAAAGCAGAACTTGGATAAATACTACTATGTAGTAGTTTTGTTGCCACTCAAACTACTTTCAAGTGAAAAATGAGTGCTTGTCCTGCACTTTACCAGATTTTACCCTAAATATATGTTTTGGGGTACTATTTCAAGTTCAGGAAAATTATCCCAGGTCCTTATGACTTTGGAATTATCAACCCTTGGCTATGCTGCTCCCTAAGATGATGAAATCTTATTAGCCACAGTAGAATAAAACAGAGGCAGGTGGTTTTCTATGAAGGAACAGTTGAGACATCAAGTGCAGTTGGGCTTTTACCAACTGAGGTATGAGCTGGCTACCTCAATGTGCTTGAAGTTGAAGTGGAATGAACATCATTTTGACAGAATCTGTGCCTATTTATACACATCAAATTCGTCTCCCCACCATAGTCACCTTATGCTCACAAATCCTAAAAAACAAACAAACAAAAAACACAACCACTAAGTAAACTGGGCATGTAATTGATGTGTAAAATACTTTTTCCTAATCATTCTGAAGGAGTGAATATGAATTCTGCCGGGAGGAACAGACCATCAAGTCCATTTTGTAGCTTCTTTTCCTCGACAATTTCTAATCTAAAAAGCTACCACAGTAGCTTTTCTAAAATATCTAAAGGATGATGCTAGTTGGATAAGGTATTTTCTGCAAAGGTATATAGTCTTTGAGAAACTGCTGGTTGCTAACAAACCATTTGGGACTGCTTTCAGAATTTCCATATATTTTTTGTGCTTTTCTGTACTCAAGTTTAAAATCTTTCATTTTAAATGTTGTTAGTTGCTAATACCCTACAGCCTTCAAAACTTGATACTAAACAGTTTGCTGCTTTCACACCCTCATGTTCTCAGTCAGTTATGAGATTTCCTTTCAAACAATATGGACCTTATCTTTCAGATAAGCTGTCTTTCATGGAAGAAAGGCCAGGGCCAGAGTGGGGGGCCAAGAGCATAGGTTATCCAGAATATCTTTGGGAGAAAAATATTTAAAAATCAGGGGCAAGGATGTGGAGAAAACGAAACTCTTTTGCTGTTGATGGAAATGTAAAATGGTGTAGCTATGTGGAAAATAGTAAGATGGTTCCTCAAAAAATTCAACAGGAAATGACCATATCATCCAGCAATTCCATTTTTGGTTATATACTCAAAAGAAATGAAAGCAGGGACTCACACACTTGTGTTTATAGCAGCCCTATTCACTATAGTTAGGAGGTGGTAGCAACCCAAGTGTCATCACTGGATGAATAAACAAAATGCGGCATGTACATATAATGGAATATTATTCAGCCTTAAAAAGAAGGGAAATTCTGGCACATGCTACAGAAACAGAAATTTTTAGGGGTGAAAAAAGACAGGTTTAGGAAATTTTAGAAATTAAGGTGACCATAGAAGAAGCACGGGGCTGCAGAGCAGCAGAAGGTATATTTCCATAGAATAGGAGAGCTGAAAAGCTGCAACAGGTACATTTCCATAGAATGAAGGAGCTGGAAACAGCAGAGGGTCTATATTTATAAAATAAAGGAAAGGAAGCCCCTCATCCAGAAGAAGAAGAAGAAAGCACAAAGGAAATAGAAAAACAATAAGGGAAGAGGGGAGGAAAACCTCACATGTCCCATGTGTGGTTTGACCTTGGAGCTCAGGAGTTACTATAGTAACCAGTCTAAGGGGATAGTGACCAATCAGAGGGGATATCAAGGCACAAAGATGTACAGCCTTTATAAACTGTGGAAACAGGGACTCGGTGGGACTATTCCCCCTCCCCATGTGGGAGTCTCTACTTGTTCTTTAATAAATTTCCACCTTTGCTATACCACCTTCTGTCCATGGACAACGAGCCCGGGAACCATTCTGCCCAGAGGAACACCAAGTGTTCTGGTCCAAAAATTCCGTTTCACTACAACATGGATGAACATTGAGGACACTGGCTAAATAAAATAAGCCCATCAGAAAAAGACAAATACTGTATGATTCCACTTATATGAGATATCTAAAGAGGCAAATTCATAGAAACAGAAAGTAGAATGGTGGTTGACAGTGGCTAGGGGTAGAGGGCAATGAGGGGTTGTTTCAGTTTGGGTACAGACTTTCATTTTTCCAGCATGAAAAAGTTCTGGTGATTAATTGTACAACAAAGAGAATATACTTAACACCACTGAAATGTAATTTAGAAATTGTTAAAATGGTAATCTTTATGTCATATATTTTACCACAATTATTTTAATTAGGAGACTTCACATTAAAATCTGAATTTGTAGGTTCTCTTGACAAAATGGAAATGTAGCACCCAGAAATAACCTGCATGGAGTGCTGAGCAGCGCTGCTCCTTTGAACAGAGTCTCTCTCTCTCTCTCTCTCTCTCTCTCTCTCTCTCTCTCTCCCTCCCTCCCTCCCTCCCTCCCTCCCTCCTTCCCTCCCTCTCTCCCTTTCTCCCTCTCTCCCTCTCTCCTGCTTTGCTTTTCTCAGTGCCCACAACCCCCTTTGCCTCCCCGATGCAAGCCTGGTTTCAGTGGCTACTTATCATTGTGCTTGTACAATTGCTGTGCTCAGAGCAGACTTAAGAGGAAAGCAAATTATATCTTGTATTTATGCATCTGTCAGCATTTTCTTTTACTTGACCTGCTTTTCCATTAATGTTACCTTCTTAGTCAGAAGGGCAACACCAGCTTGTTGCTCTTAATAGAAGGCTAGGTTTAGTAGGAAGATGTCAAAGAAAAGAGAGTAAAATGCTCAGTGGAATATTTGACTTGATTTTTATGCTAAGTGTGATGAATTTTTTTTTTAAAGCCAACATGTTTCTTGTGGCAAGATTCTTGAAAATCAAAGCATGAAACTGCTTTCATTGTTCAATGAGGCCAGTTGTGTTCCTGGGCATTTAGCATAGGGAATATAACTGGGTGCAGATTGGTGAACATGCTCTTGCTTTGGCTTGTGGGCAATGCCAGCAACCCCTTTTTACCTAAATGGTCCACCAACTGAACAAAAGTCAACAGATGCTTTCCTGACATTCATTCTGGCACAAGTCTGGGTAGCCACATTAGGAGGAAGATTATTATATTTTTGACCAACCCAAAGTAAAAGGGTGAGCTCTGCCAGGTCATTTTGATCAGTAATCAGTGCCCTCAGGCTGCCTCTAAGCTTCCTAAGACTCCAGCCCTTCCCCTAAGGGCCAGCCTCAGCCCTTCCCCAAATGATCATCCCCTATATCACCCATGATCCTGATCCATTAAAATGTATCAGTCTTGTGTCCCCTTCCCTCAGGCTTATCCAGTGATAGTAATTAATCTGATTAACTGAATTACAAGTAATATATTAATGGGTTACAATGGCTTGATGTACACTCCTGCAAGATAACATTTTGCCTAGAAATGTCCATGTCTTATCCTATGAAACTCGTTACTTTGTCTTGTGCTAGACAAATCAGTCAGAGAGGTTCTCAAAATCTGTGGGAGGTGATAGTATTATTATACCCAATTTACAGGTGAGAAAACTCAGTTTCAGAAAGGTTGAAGAACTTGCTCCAAGTAATTCTAAGATAAAGTGCTGAGAGTTGTTAATAGTGACCACAAATTCAAAGAGAAAGGGGTTTCTGGTGTTGTTGAGCAGATGAGGCTCAGGATGGCCCACTCCACCCTGGAAGTCAGCTAGAGAGGCAGGAGGCCAGCAGCATGGGGTGCAACTGCAGGATAGAAATGCTCTCATTTGCAATAGACAGTCCT